CCTGTGGGTTTGTGGATATATATCCACATTCTTGAGCATGTAGGAGTACAAGTGTTCAAGGTATGCTGGGGGTGCACTTGGACAGGGGTGAACGAAACCCTATTTCAGTTAGGGTCGTAGCCCTCACAGCACGTTTGACATGGAAACGCGTGCATAGGTTTCCGTATTCCTGCCAGGACCCTCTGCAAGCAGGACATGCAACTACCACAGCACGTTTGGACACAGCAAACCAACAAGGGCTACGTGCTGGGGCCAAGCGTTCAGACTCGCTACCTATGGGCTGAAGAGCCAGCAGCCACTTTTTTGGGCCGTATAGATTCTAATCCACCTACCTGGAGTTACTGTGCTGATGGGCTGCCACGTGTCCAGAAACCCCAGAGAGGCTTTCCTGTACGTACTGGGACTGTGCCCCACAAATCTAGAGGCCAAGCTCGACAGCTTTCCAGGATGATTAAATTCATCCTCAGTTTTACAAGCAGAAAAGATCCTGAACGCGCTAGAAGGTCCAGAGTTTTCCCATCCAGGTCAGCAGAAGACCAAATTCTTTACTCGTATCTAACTAAGCCAGTTGGATATTAGAGAAGGCCAGCGCAGAGATCAGATTTGGCCATATGGTACACAGCTACAACCTAAGTGCCTTCAAGCTGCTCCTTAAGATGCCTGTAGTTAGACACTCATATGCCATAAAAGACTAATTTGCAAAAATCATGTGCAGCCTGCCAGCCTTTCAGTACAGCCAGTCCTCTTCACTTCGTGGTGACATTTGCAGCTCCATTCCCCTCAAATATCCCTCTTCCAATAATACAGTTTTTCTGAGTAGCTCTACAAAGCTGATAGCTCACTGGAGTGCCCCCAGATTGTCCAGTGACCAGAAGGACTTTCTATTGAAGTGGCATAAAATAATTTCTTTATTTCTTTATCTTTCAGTGTTGGATTTCAGTGTAGTGCCATGATTATACTGGCATAAAGAAGTTATTTCAGACCAGTTTGATAACTGAAAATAGCGATTTCTAAGCCTCTAGCATAGCTCTTCAAACAAGCAAATAAAAGTCAGCCACAATTTTTAACCATAGATACAGTAAGAAATATAAGAGTAAATGAGATTAGTTGTAGATGGCAACTCAAAAATCCACACTTAACACTTGTCAGCGGTGTCTTAGTTTAAGATCACGGACAGAAAAGAAATTCATCCCTGTAATAACTCTCCCAAGTAAGGAAAGGTTATTTGTTTCCCCTCTCAACCTATTCTAGAAGTGTCTCAAGACACCAAGCAGAGCTTAATTCAGGCTCAGTGTTTGGTTGCTCAGCCAACAAGCAGAAAACAGATTAGCTTCTCCACAGAGAACCTGAAGTAGTTCAGGTAAAAGATATGTGACCAAACCATATATACCTGACTTAAATTTCGGGGCTTTCCCCTCCCCAGCAACAGCTGCCGACAGCTAGGTCTAGAGAGCAGATATGCTGATGCATTACATGGCACAGTGGGTGTATTCACTAGCATGAGACTCTTCACCAACAGCCAGATGACAGTTGAGTAAAACACAGACAGTGCAGTAGTTTATTTAGCAATACCAAAATACCTTTCAGGTGTGACAGTTCAGGCTGTCATGAGCCACACACTAGTTAAATATAGGAACATCATACCAAAGAATTACATTTCATAGATACTAATTTCTATTTCTCATCTCCCAAACATTTTAAGTTAATAGACTCTAATATTCCAGATCAGAAGAGCTTCCAAAACCCCAGAAAACTACTGGGTGCATGCTCTACTTCAGCTGCATCAAGCCAAATCATATCATACCTCTCCATCTAATTAAAAATAGAAAGTGAAAACAGGTATTCCAAATTATGACTTTCTTTTAACCTTTCAGCTGCTCTGATGATCAATACCTACTTATTTTTCTTCTTTTAAAGACACTTCATTTTCTGATGCTTTCCAACTTTCAATGCACTATTTTTTTTTACAACATCTCACCTAGATTCTGTCTAAACAGACTCAGTCTTTACACACACTAAGGCATCCAAGACAGCTTTGCTGAACCCATTATGGTGACACATTCAGATTACCTTCCTCCAGGATAGAGGGACTGAACCCCCCAGGCACGAAGTCAGAACTTGGAATAGTTGCAGCTATTCTTCAACGAATAGTTGACTAAACAGCTTCACAAAAACGAAAACAAAACACTCCTCCCAAATATCTACTGCAGACTATTATTACCAATTTTACAATATTTAGCTTCCTTAAAGAATTTACAGTTTTAAATTTTACCCTTCCCACACCAGCTGTTGATTAGAACGTGTTTATCCTAGTGAAGAAGGATAAGCTTTCAGCTTGTAGAAGCCTTCAGAATTGTGCCTCAACTACCCTCTTCATTGGGGATTAGTCACAGAAGAACATAGATCTACATCTCAGTCTCTTGAGAATTTACAGAGATTTATACATTTACTTACTGTTTCCCAAACTCCAAAAAAAAAAAAAAATTCCTTCCCTGATCTAATAAAGGAAGCTATTTAATAGATCATAATGCCAGAAAGGTCCATTATGATAATCCAGTGCAATCTTCTGCATATAGCATACTGCCAAGGATTTCATCTAGAGATTGCAATGCTTGACTGGAGCTAGAACATAATCTCCAAGAGCTTTTTATCTCTAGCATCAAACTCAAGATATAAAACAAAACCCAACGAACACTTGCCAAGTTTGGAATTTACAAGTGCTCCATTAAAACTTTCTAATTATATAAAGAAACAAAGATGACAGTAAGATGGGTTTTGCTGTTTCTCGTGCTGGAAAACATCCAGCTATTATACCACTAGATCTACCTCAGATTTTATTTAATGTAAAGCACAAAAAATTACTTGAAAGCACTGTGGAAAATGATGCAACTATTAATAGAAAAATTCTAAATGGAGAAAGAATAAAGAAGATATTGAAAGCTTTCTGTATAAAACCATTTGTAGTCTTATAACTGCAAGAAATGACGTTTAGAAGATTCACTGACTTGTGTCACATAAAATATTAGTGACGGACTGTCACAGTAAATCACAATGTGCCTTTAGATGCACTTTATTCCGTTTTCAGACTTTCAAAACCCGCATTCAATTATTGACAGAATTGATCAGGAAGACAAGAACAACAAAGGAGGCGACAGAAGCCAACCCTTCGGTGGCCAATCGCCGCCCGGTAGCCTCCGATAAAAGCCTTATCATAACTGACCAGTTGGTGCCTTGAATATTTATAAGCACTCCCTGCAAAGTCACTCCTGTTTCCATTGAGCACTGGCTTCCATTCATTCATTCATTGCATTTTTTTTTCCCCGAGACAGAGATTTCTCAACCGAAAATAATAATAATAACAAAAAGTTGCACTGTGAGCTGTTAACACCTCCTTCCCATTTTATACACAGAAATTACTGGGAGAAACAAAAAATGGAGATCATAAACACCTGAAATGCATCTTTCTCTGTGTAAAACCATGATATTTTACTCCAGCCTGCACAGATAGGGAGCGGTAGGTGGCACCGAATCCTCTTTTTGGACTCAGCTACAAATATTCCTGTGGTATATGAAGTTTTACGACAACTGTTTTAGCAAGGCAAGACTTCCACATACCCTTATGGCCTTGCATGAAAAAGTCTGTAGTTTAAAAAGCAAATGTCCATCTTTGACTTTTAAGCTTACAGCTACATTCCACACCAGTGTCAAAGAACCTTTAGGTGCGCTTATCTTTTGTATTTAATTCACGTACGGTTATCTCACATACTGTCAGCAGACGGAGTGCAGGGAGTGTACAAGAGAGGGGTTGGGGTTCAGCAACAGGAGTGATCCTCCTCGAGCTGGGTCATCCTACCTAATGACCTAATAGGGAGGAACCGTGAGGCTGAGCAGTCACCTCACCTAGCCAAGGGTAATCCAAATTGCTACGTTATTGCTTGGGGATGGGCTAATGGTATGCAAACGTAAGGTCAAAGTGAGCCTTTTTCTGACCACGTGTTTCATTAGTGAGGTTCACCTAAAGTGTCACTTTTACCCCCAAAGAAAGTCTGTGCCTTCACTTGTCCCTCCTTACGAGGCTGAACTGTGAAGGGGCCAAACGACCTGCTTTTACAGTCAGTGAAATCAGAGAGGATCCTCTGATTCTCTGACTTCTTCAAGGAGTGCCTGACAACAAAACCAGCAAGAGTCAGGACGCTGCGTGGGGCTCACAGAGCAGCTTCTGCACTGAAAGCTTCTCTGAGTTTTCCATGGAAAGTTATGGTACTCCTCCATGGGACACAAAACAAAAAATCAGAGCAGCAAGCAGAACAGAACTGTCAAGACTGAGGTCTTTTCAATTGCTCCACAATCTCATAAAAAGATACCAGCATTCCTTTATCTGCTTATTTGCTTAGCTGCTTTAAAAGCCTGCTTTCTAATCAAGTGCCAGGATTAGGCATTTTAATATTAAGTTACTCTCATTATTGAGGTACCATCCCACATACTTAAGTCTGCAAGCCAGGCACAGCCCCCTCGTTATTACATCAACACAGTAAAGCACAGCCTTGTCCTAAGCTAGAAGCAAGTTTTTTCCTTGGGAACTGAACTTCATTACTGCAATGAAATTTAAAAAAAAAAAAATGTATCAAGTCCTTTCCCCTTTCCAGGCTGTATGTGGGAATCACATTTTTAAGATGAGAATGCAAAATTCTTAGTCTACTTCACTATACATTGGTGGTAAAGTAAGTTTTGCTTGCAAAGAGTAATGATATTTTCCGGAGAACAGCTTGTTACTCTACATTTCACGTCATGGGTACAGAAAAGCATGCACACATGCCAATTACAGTAAAAATGTTCAAAACAGCAGCTGGTAGGAAGTTGGAAGAGACATTTGTTAAGACAACAGGGCTGGGGTTCCCACCGCCTCTGAGCCTTTTACAAACTGGTACACGCTAAGACTAAGGAGATAGCACTCCTGCCTGGTAAAACTGTCATGCACAAACCACTACCAAAGCTGCGATTCAGGTGAAAAACACAAAACCAGACACACGGAAATTACTTAGTTTACTGTAAAGCTGGATCTTACCATTAGCGTTTTTCCCACAAATGAGATGCTCGTAAGGTTGCAACACTCCCCAGAGTTCGGCATCGTTGTTGATAACCATCTCCAGGATTTCTGCTGAGATCTCCCCTCCTCCGCTATCAGGGCTCTGACTTGCCAAAACCCGGGCTTTAATCTCTTCTACGAGGTTTTCCATGCAGGAGGTTAAGGAAATGGCTGCATATTCATGGATCCTAACTGAGATCCTGGTGTCCACCATCCACCTGAAGAACCTGCCCACGGAGAAGGTGAGGCCGCATCTTGCCGATTTTCCCTTCCGCAGCCCGTCTCCAGCGCTCATGCTGTACAGCGAGAGCGCCTTGACGGTAGCCAGGACGCAGCTTTCCGACAGGGCCCAGCTCTGGATGAGCTTGATGGCGCTCTGCACCTCGAAGCGCGTGCACTTGGCGTGCACCACGCTGAGCCGCTGAGCCTCCCTGGAGACGCGGATCAGGGCTCGCCGCAGGAGCTGCGAGAGCCGCCTGACAGCGTCCTGCGTGAAGGCCCTGCCGTTTCCATCCCCCTTCCCTTTCCTGAGTATCTTTCCAATGTCCTCATCAGTCCAAGGGTATTCCTCTAGATCGGGCAGCTTAGGACACTTGGAAAATATATCTGCGACTTCTGGGTCTTCCGGCAGCACAGTGTTCACGGTGTCCCAGCTGTTGTTCCTACTGTTCATGGAGCCCGAGTAGTACCACCAGTTGCCCCTGTGCTGAGCGGAGGCAAACGCTTGCGAGTTGGACTTGGAAGAGGAGAGGCTGAGGGACCTGCAGGAGTCCCCTGCCCCATAACCGGAGTCCAACGTTAGATCCTCCAGGGTCTTCAGAGTCGAGCTGTACATCCCAG